CCATCGTATGCCGGCCGTGAAAGCCTTCGACAATACATCAAACAGAACAAGGACGATTCTCATTCAGATTGTGCAGGCAATGGTTACTGGAAACTCTGGGAACACAGTAGAAGTGCTTTGAACAAGTATTTGAATATTAAAAGTAAAGAAATTAACATGGGGGGGTGTGATATCAAAGTTAGGTCAAATTAAGATTGAGTATCTGGCTTTGGAGATCCCTGCCACCTAAAGGAGTGGCCAGGAGAGTATCAACAAGGGGCTTTGGGGAAGCATGCCATCTCTTTCATTCTTCTTTCTTCTACAGCTAGTCAACCTGTTCCATCTCTCTCTACACACTTGAAGCTTATAGGTTTGCATAATCATGTGCAACTTGATGGAGGCAGGTGGAGTGTGAGGAGCAACATGGTTGTTTTGTCAGTGGGCCAGCCTAATCAGAGTCAGCCATCTACTAGTGGTTTGGTCCAATCACTTTCTCAGGCAAAGGATAGAGGAAACAAAGAAATGCATTAATAGTAACAATGAGACTATGGATTTCCCAAATAATTCTCCAGAACTGAATATTTGTTGGGCAAACTATCCCAGCTAGTCACTTTCTATACTGAGGATATAGTCTCATAGTGGATTGGGCACTCCTTGTACAAGCAAGGAGACCATCCATATTGATGGGGTGCTGATTCATAAATATTTTATTATATTTGTTGTCTGCTTATTTAAAAAAGCAGTTACTACATTTGACATTCCCTATGGAATGCCAATACATAAATAAAAACAATCTATATTTGCTATAAATTAAAAATCTGGATCTTATTACTAACTACTGTAGCATGTTTACTGTCTATTATCCAAAAAGCAGCAAATCTGCTTCCACGGTAACAGAACTTTTCTAGATTGATGATGTAACATTCCAGTATATGTACATTGCTTTTACCTAGTTTATTAAGGTTATTTCTTAATTCCATAAACATCTTTTACATTTGCGTTGCATTTCTTGGTTGGTGTTCTTATTGTTTTGTTTTGTTTTTAAACCATAAAGCATGATTGTTCTTTTTTTTATGTGAGATTTATTTTGACTTTGTTGTAGAGGCTGCCAGGTATATGATGGCAAGACAGTAAAGTTAATTTCATCTATCTGCTATCCAGATGTCCAGTTCCTGGTTGTGATGGTCAGGGTCATATAACTGGGAAATATGCATCTCATCGTAGTGCATCAGGGTGCCCTCTTGCTACTAAAAGGCAAAAGGATGGGTATCTGAATGGCTCCCAGTTTTCTTGGAAGTCAGTGAAGACGGAAGGTATGTCATGTCCAACTCCAGGATGTGATGGCTCTGGACACGTCAGTGGTAGCTTTCTTACACATAGGAGGTGAGTAATGGCATTATCTATATATATGTATTGTTCCTATGTGTATTTTTTAAAATAAGCATGAATCCTATTGGTTACAGTATGTGCGCATTATAATAATGTTTTAACAGTTGTTATTTTGTGAGGCATAGTTGATCAAGAGTTCTAGATAAGTAGATAAAAATTGCACAACTTCATACTTGTGGCTCAGAATGAGAATGAGACACTGAGTCTGTCATAATAACAGCACCCTAACTCTGATACTGCTTACATATAACAAATTAACAATAAAGTTCCATATTGTGAACTTTTCATCTGGTATGGCTGTAGAGAGCAGAGGACTCTACTGTGTATTAAGATCCCATTCACTTCAACTGAGGGGCAAATTTATGAACAATAAACTGTAACATTTTACAGGGGCAAATTTATGAACAATAAACTGTAACATTTTAGGACTTTTAATATCTGTGTTGTTGTTTGTAAAATATTCTTGTTGTTATAGAAAGTTTCAGTATAGAAAGATAATTATTACTGCATTTTCCTACTACTAAAAAAAGAATTATTTCATCTCAGTACCTGTTTTCCTGAAGGAAATATTTATGTTAAGTGGGAATCTTGTCAGTTTATGAATTTATTTTTGAAATGAGTCACATTGTTACAGTGGGAAAATATGGAAAAAAGAAATTGTTAATTCTTTCTGGAGAGGCATAATAAATTATGCTAAATACTTATAATTTGTAATGGTTTAATTAAAAATCTACTTAAAGCTAAAAAATTTACTAGTATTCTTATCAATATTTTTGATATTTATGCTAAATACTTATAATTTGTAATGGTTTAATTAAAAATCTACTTAAAGCTAAAAAATTTACTAGTATTCTTATCAATATTTTTGATATTTATGCTAAATACTTATAATTTGTAATGGTTTAATTAAAAATCTACTTAAAGCTAAAAAATTTACTAGTATTCTTATCAATATTTTTGATATTTATGCTAAATACTTATAATTTGTAATGGTTTAATTAAAAATCTACTTAAAGCTAAAAAATTTACTAGTATTCTTATCAATATTTTTGATATTTATGCTAAATACTTATAATTTGTAATGGTTTAATTAAAAATCTACTTAAAGCTAAAAAATTTACTAGTATTCTTATCAATATTTTTGATATTTATGCTAAATACTTATAATTTGTAATGGTTTAATTAAGAATCTACTTAAAGCTAAAAAACTTACTAGTATTCTTATCAATAATTTTTTGTCTGTAAAGTATACAAAATTAGCCACAAAATATTATCCAACTTTCTTTATAACTTTCTTGCATTTCTAAATAAATGCAAGTACACGAGAGTTGTATACTGTATTTATTTAAAATATTTTATATTCTTTTCTACCAAAAAAACAATCAAAGCACTTATAATGCACAATGTATTCTAATGCCTTTAGAAATACGATTCTCATAATTGTAAATACTGGTATCTCTCTATAAGGAAAAAAAACCCTAACTCTTCTGAAAATACCCAGATTTTATCTGAAAATATCAAAATGTATTGAGAATTGATGATCTTATAAAATTTTACCATCTTAAAAACTAGTATTTTTAATTTAATTTTGGGAATTAAAATCTAGGGATGTGACAGATGCCCTGTTAAAGGGCATTCAGAGGTGTAATTGCTTCTTTATGGACACAGGCAAAATTAAGTGAATAAAATTCCCCAGAAATTATTCATCCTAACTGTAATGATTTGTTCCCATTTCAATTTTAAATTATTCTGTCCCATAGAAAGTCACACTCAATAATTTTTTTTTTCTTCTCTGTCTCATACACACACAGACTTCCTTCATGTAGAAAACAGTTGGTCTAACAGCTCCCTACTATCAGGCTTTGGGTACATTGGTTATTTAAACTTTTAACTATTTCCATGGAACAGTACCTAGGGAGTTGTGTGGCAAAGAGATCTATAGCCATATAACACAGTAAGCAGAAGTATTTTATCAAACTGAGAATTTAATAAAATGCTTCTTTGAAACACAACTACCTTGATGTTTTATATATTAATTTTCAGGTCTACACTTCTCATTTTCCCATATATTCTATATGGCATTTGCTGCAAATCGTTAATAGTAGCAGCCAACAGATGCTGTGCATCTTTTCTTCCAGATAATCCCTCTATGGTTTTTACATTCACTTTGGTTACTTTTCCCTTTATATAAGGGAATAGTAATGGCACTCTTCCAGTTGTCAGGCGCAATGTGCTGTCATCACATTAAACTAGTCATACAGCCACTCCATAAGCAAATCACCTTATTTTTCCATCTCTAATTGTAACTTTACCATTTTTCAACATTTTACAGCATGTACATCTTCCTTTTCATTATTTTTTCTTGGGCTGTAATATTTTATAGTATTCATTTCATTTCTACTCTTCAATATACCATCATTCTGAAACGAATCTCTAGAATACTGTATTCCTTCCAGCATTCAGCTTCATTCGAAATAATTTCATCACTTTTATTCTTGGTTCCATTCACTCTGCTGGAGGCACCTTTTTTAGCTGCTTTCGCCCACTTCACAAACACTATTTAATTTCCATTAAAATTATTCTGTATTTATTCTGCCACTTTTATGTTTAACTATTGATTACATTCTTTGATTACATTCTTTGCTTTGTCTACACAGGTCATACTATACCTTTCTCTTATCTTCATTCTTTGCAGCATTTTTGTATATGCAATTTTTTTCCTTATCCACAACCTCTTTCACTTCATCGTTACACCAAGCATCTTTTTTCATACGTACCATTCGTTGCAACTCCACATACTTCTGTGGCAGTCTGTAACATAATTCTTAACTCTGTTCCAATATGCTTCCATCCCAGTCTTCCCTGCACCCACTTTCCAGTCATTCAGTCCAGAGATTAATCTAATACTTTTTCATATATGGCTTGTAGCTTTTTTTCTTGCAGTCAATCTACTTTCACCCTTGTTTCTTTCACTTCTCTTTTTCTTCCATCTCTAATTTTAACCAAGATCCACCCTTAAAACTACCAACAAATAATCTGTCTCACATTCAGAACTTCTCATCACATTTGTATCTTCATTAATTCTCTTAATCTTTCATCATAAACAATAAAACCAACCATGCTTTTAGATTCATATGTGCACAGATCTTTTTCCAAGCAAATAGGCATATCAAAGGGTGTTTCATATTCACTCAACAATATACCTTTGTTTACATATTAAATGATCAGCTACTTTCTATTGTATTAGTCCAAAAACTTATTAGACTTTAAGACTTTTTCAGGAATAATCCAGTATCCAAAGCAGTAGACCATATTTATGTGCCTGCATTTAAACCAGTTAATTGGCCTGATAGTATTAAGGGAATGAAATCGACTTAATTCTCAATGGGGGAAAATAAGTATAAATTATACACATCTCTTCTTTGAAATAAGAATTAAGCTATTAATTCATATTCTTTGGAAATATATGCCTTGGAGACAGTTTCAATAAGCCTACTATTTATTAGTTTTATTGACATGGAAAATATATATATGACCACACCTAGCCTACCTTGACTGATCTTAGAAAAGCTAAAGAGGGTTGCAACCAACTGATACTTGAATGGGAGGCTACAAGGGGAATAGAAAGATAGATAGATAGATAGATAGATAGATAGATAGATAGATAGATAGATAGATAGATAGATAGATAGATAGATGTATATCCCAGAAAACAACAATAGTAAACCACTTCCATGTCATTGTCAAGAAGACCAGGAGTTGAGTGTGATTTCATGGAGTCTTCATGTTTTCATCTTTATTTAGAATAGGTTTATATCATCGCAGAATGTATTTGATGAATCTGGCTGTCATCATAACATTTCACTGCTTGAAAATAAGTCATTTTTTCCATAATAGTGTTATTCTAAATACCAGATACATTTTAATGACAAAATAATATCAATACTAATCTTTCAGTTTTAATGTTTCGCTTTGTATATCCTAGAATATCTTTAAGTTAGTTCAGTAACAACAAGCTTCTATCTAGTGAAGAACAGACAGGCTTTAAGTATAAAATAATGTGTTAGATATTATATGGCAGCATATAAAGGCTCTGAACAATACTAAGCTTTTTTTCTTAGCTACATTTTCCCAGTTTATTTTTATATTATAATGAATGTAAATATTGTTTGTGGATGCAAATATGGACTATAGAATATTAAATAAATATAGAAGATGGAACTTGTCTGAGAAAAATTCCTTTTCATTTTCAGAAAGCAGCATCTTATTAATGGTAGTTGGGAGAGATTTTCTTCTAGTGCTGTTTCCATGGTAGCTTTAGCTGACAGATTTATAATCAAGGGCCAATTAATAGCTCTTTCCTTGCTTATTGTCTACAGTCTATCAGGATGCCCCAGAGCTACATCAGCAATGAAGAGAGCAAAGCTGTCGGGAGAACAAATGCTTACAATAAAGCAGCGGGCTAGTAATGGTAAATAGTAAATGGTTCTGGATTAAATGACACTGAAACCTTATTTCATGACTATGAGATTAATTTACTCATTATGATAATACTGTATTATGGAGTCCTTTTAACACAGTTTTTGAATCCTTCTCGAGATGTCATCAGAGTACAGTATATGAATCTGCTGTTGCTGTTACAACTTTATCAGCACCAGTCTGTGTTCCTCTTTTGGTCTAAGCTGAAGTAGTAAAGCAAAACTCTCAACTGAAGACCATTCTGGCCACATTTTTTTTCAGAAGCAAATCTCACTATGTTCAAGAAATTGTATAAACGATGCACCTGCATTTCTTTCTAAGTTCTGTAGGCTACCAGAAGCACCAATTTCATCTCTATCTAGTTTGACAGTGTATTTAATTGCCTTAGCAATTTCATGATGTATGGCCCAATGATTTGGTAGATATAATTTACTGTGTGTGTGTGTGTGTGTGTGTGTACCCTGAGAGCCACTTTGAGATAATTTTTATCCTGAAATATTTAGAAGACATCTAAAACAATTTGATAACTTCAACATAGTTCAAATTTGTTAAAGAAAACAATTTTAGAACAGTTAAAATAATACAGCAATAAGAAATTAAGATTATTCCTATTCTAGCAAGGGTTTCACATTTCAAAAAATGTAATGCAGTTTATAAAATGATTAAGTTTAAAGAAATTGAGGTAGAGACAGAACATTTCATATCTTTACAAACTGGATTGTGAATTCATTAAAAAAGTACTGTATGTATGTAATTGAAAAATCATAACAAGAAAAAAATGAAGGTTCTAAAAGATATAAAAGGAAGTATTTCCATTAAAAAACCAAGGACCATTTGAGTTCTGTTTTTCCCCCAGTTTCTGTGGTCACAAAAATGGTTGCAACTGTCTCCCAATACCCCTTTCTCAACAGGATCTCATGTGCAATCATAGGGTGAAAGTCCTAGTTGCTTACATGAAGCAATGCACTCTGTCATCAATCTTCCAGATTCATATACAATAACATTTCCATATTCCCACACTGCTAACACTCCATGAGGGGTCAGAATTGGTTGGAAGTGGCAGCATGAAAATAAATAAAACAAATAAATCACACCAAGTCTTATGTTGTCCTCCAGTTTGGGGCAAACCTACTACATAATTCTTAAGTGTAATGCTTATACTTTGGTGTCAACTCTTCCTGTAGAATTATTATTGTTATTCATACATGAGGATAGAAAAGCCTCACTTTTATCTAAACTACTTCTTCAAAAAGAGAGGGAAATACAAGAGGATGACTGAGAGAAAAACAGAGTTCCCTTATCCCTTAAACTCATTTAACGAACAATAGGCCAGGTGAAAATCAGACCACATAGCAGTCTGTGGAGACCCTTAATCTCACCTTAAACTACTCATAGGTGCAAAGAGATCATACAGTCACCAACACCTGTATAGTGCAATTGTCCTGGCACTTTCTCAGTATTCTATGACATTCTAGGTGACAGGGTTTCCCACCATTGTCATTTTTTTTCTTTCCATGTAAAAAGAGAAAGTGATGGAATAGCTACATGGTATATTTTGGTACTTCTACAGGTTGTCCATCCTCACCTGTTTAATAAACATTTATAACTTCTTTCTTTGAATGTCTCCTTTTCCTTGAACAGGAATAGAAAATGACGAAGAAATTAAACAGTTAGATGAAGAAATAAAAGAGCTAAATGAATCCAACTCCCAGATGGAAGCTGATATGATTAAACTTCGAACTCAGGTAACAGTTTTACAAAGCCCGAAATTCAGTGGGTTTCCAAGACAGACAGACAGACAGACAGATGCACACACACACACACACACACACACATACAACAGACACCCACACATATCCCACACACAAGACACATGCATAAATGGGATTTCTCCTTGCCCCGTAGCCCCATGAAAAGTTTTTCAGAAAGGGAAAATGCTTCTAACCTTACTTGGCACATCTCTTCTTCCTCTTTCTTCAGTGGAAGCATTACTGGGCTTCATTTCTGCCTGTGAAGGAATGGAGCCCATTACAGCATACTCTGAATATTCACAACCTAATACCATTGACCTAAATTAATTATTCGCTTTAAAAATGTCATGTTTTACATTGTGCAATCATATATTCTTTTAGATTACCACAATGGAAAGCAACCTGAAGACAATAGAAGAAGAAAACAAAGTAATTGAACAACAAAATGAGTCTCTCCTTCATGAATTGGCCAATTTGAGCCAATCTTTAATTCATAGTCTAGCTAATATCCAGCTACCGCATATGGTAAGTGATTGAAGGCTCAAATAAGGAATTAGGCAGTCTCCTTCACCTCATACAGTAGATGTCTTTTTGTTTTTATGTTTATGACTCCTCAAGCAGATGGAGGTTTGCGATATCATCCCTGAAACCATAAAGATAAATTTAACTGCTTAAAAAGAAATGGTGGGCCAAATCCGATGTCTCCTGTAAAATTAAGTAAGCTTTGAACTAGGCCTTTTTAATGTATTAAGAAAATGGTGTCAGTGTGCTGTGATAGTTTATTTTGCATAAATGAATATACAAAAAAAAAGCAATTAGAAGTTGTATATGAACTACTATTTAATATCTCGTAGGAACCAATCAATGAACAAAATTTTGATGCTTACGTGACCACTTTGACGGACATGTATACAAATCAAGATCGTTATCAGAGTCCAGAAAATAAAGCCCTACTGGAAAATATAAAGCAGGCTGTGAGAGGAATTCAGGTGTGAACAGCTGCTATAGTGGTGAAAAATCTTACCTTTAAAAAAAAAAAAGATGCCTCTTGTTTTTTGCTGCTGTAATTTACCAGAAAGTGTTATATATTTCTTTCTGTTTAAAACAGTGTTATGCTCACAAGACTTCATAATAATTTTATGTCTTGCTTTAAAAATAGTAATTGCAGAATAGTTTTTTGAATACATTCACATTTTGTACGTTTTCATATAAGCTGACATAGTGTGATATGCCATGTAATGTTTATAGCTGCTAATGTATGCACATTTTTGGGGTAAATATATTTCTGAAGAGGTAAGCTGATCAAAATAAAGAGTGTAAATTCTTTTTAATGCTTTAGTGATTAAATGTTTTAGTATTTTGAACTGAAATGGACAAAAAGGAAAAAAGGGGGGAAATGCTTTGAATGACAATGTTGCAGTCTCCAGCCACTTTTTAAACACTCTCATTTTGTCCCATTGCTGGAAGATTTTATGGGATTTAAGAAATACATTTTGTGTGCATATTGTTTCATAGCAAGAATTGGTTGCAAAAATGCTTTATTTTTTAACAATGCCTGAAAATATTGTGTGACTTTTGTTTTCAGAGGATGGTATGTGGTGGGGGCAATAAAAAAAATGGGGGGTTTTAGAATTAAAACAAAGGGCATGAATTAGATGTGAAATGTAAAAGGAGCAATTTATTGTAAGACAACATCAAGCCATGGAAATTTGACAGAAGATTCAAAGCAGCTTAAACAGCACTTTTTAATTAACTTCTAAGCATTACTTGGTATGAATATGGGAACTTCCACAATGACAGGAACTCTTATCAGAGGTGGACTACGGGAAGATTTCAACTTTACTTTTCAAATTCACTTTGGAGTCAACATCCTTTATCTCTCCGGAACTCTTAAGAGTGTCCATCTGAGTTATCTGTTAAAGCAATGTAGTTCATCATTTCATAAGTTCAGTCTTTCCTTTTTCAGGCAAAAGGCAATTGTTTAAAAGAAATATTGCCTGTAAAAAAGAAAAGTTTTCATTTGGGAACTAACTCCCAAACGTTGTCATTATAGCAGTTGCTGACCAGGATTCATTGCTACTTTGCCTAGGAAATGGAATGCAGTTCAGTGAATCTGATCGTTTCACTCTCTTCCCTTTTTACTGTTTACGTTCTGCTTTTTTGTTGGAGTACAATCATTCATAACTGTAGCATTTCCATATGCTATCTATTTGTTCTACTGTTACCTATTGCAAAAAAATGAATGCAATCAAAAAAAATTAATGTAACTAAATATACTTTGGCACTTTTTTGCTTTAAATTGCATCATTTCAAGCTAAAAACGTATTGTACTTTTCAAATTTGATTGTTATTTCTTCAAAATAACTGCACTAAATGTATGCATAAGACCACTTTTCTTGAGACATTTTTGTTTATCATTTAATAGTAGTAATTCAGATGGTGTGTTGTATTTGTCGGATGTTGAATTAATTTCAATTTGATAGCATATCTTTTCCTTCCATGTCTTGATGTTATGCAGAAAAGTACAAAAGTACTTTAAAAAATTTTGTTATGAAAAAAGATGGGTTTTGTAAAAAAAAATAATAATAATAAAATAAAATATTTTTAGCAGAACAGGACTTACAGGGTCATTGTCCCCACAATGTGCCAGTTGACTATTTGCATATTTTTAGCAGAACAGGACTTACAGGGTCATTGTCCCCACAATGTGCCAGTTGACTATTTGCATATTTTTAGCAGAACAGGACTTACAGGGTCATTGTCCCCACAATGTGCCAGTTGACTATTTGCACTTACCTTGCCCTATATATCCATACGGAGGTGTGCAATTTCTTGTGTCATTAGCTTTGTGACACTAAATTTGAACAAATTAGAGTGGAAGCCAGTGTGGCTAATCCAATAATATTGCTAAGGGGAGACTACAGGGATCTCACAACAAATATTCTGATACAATACTCAACCTCGGTATATATATATGTATAAATATATGTATATCCCAGCGGCACTTTATACTATTCACTGTACAAAAAGCTTACAGTTTTCCACGAGGACTTTAATACCTAGCTGGGAGAAGATGATGTAATTACTTTGGGGCTCTGCCGTGTCTTCTCTGTACAGTGCCCTCCTTTCTGTTGTGCTATTAGTTGTAGCTGCCATGCTCAGAATTGCCTTTTTGAGAGCTGAAGCAAGGTGCTTGATATTCACCTTCTGCCATATATATTGTACTTTGGCCCTAGCCTCCTTTGAAGGCTCTCATTGTTCATAATGGCATATGCATTTTTCCACTGCATTGTGTCTGCAGCTTCTTTGCCAATATAGTAACGCTTTCCGTAGAGTAATAGATAGTATCAGTTTTGGATTCTTATTGTTATCACCTATGTACAATGGAAAAGGGATTTTAAGCACAAATCCGCGCTCCTCATCTAATGTTGGTACATAATATCAAATCAAAAGTTATCTGTGACTATTATATAGGGATCACAAAAGTGTCACATATTAGAATGCTGACATTTCATCTGAAATTATTGTGAGTCATCAGAGTTTATTTATTCTAACTTATTGTTCAATTTCATTTCTAAGTTTAATTTAAGTGATCATTTATTAAGACAGAATTTTGTATAAACTACTTATTGTGCTCTCTGTGGAACTGAGGTTTGATTTATTTTTGTACTACACGGCATGGGTTTGTTGACATTTTAATTTTGCTATAAATGTGTGAAATCACAAGTTGCTGTGATAACTTCATTTTTAAATTGTGAAATTTGTACAAATTTTGTCATGCTGGATGTGAACACATCTTACTCTAAATAAATAAATAAAAATGTGTTGCCACATTTGTAGCACAGCTGTTCTCTGGTTAATTGTTACTTTTCATATTTTCACTTAAAATAGTAACAGCTTCTGCATGCCATGACCCCTTTTTTCATTTTCATCACTGAAATGGTTTTACATTTTTTCATTGTTGAACCAAATTCTTCTTTGCTTAAGCAGAACTGCCTTTCTTCAAAGCAATTAAAAACCATCCAGTTAGTCAATAAAACCCAAATTTTCAAAATTCCAGTTGTTTAAATCAGAATTGTTCATGTGTGCAGTTACTTCGTGCCACGCTTCTTTTTAAAATCATTTCCATGATTTATGGGGCTTGAACGATAGTACTCATATTTATTTGCCTTCATGGTCCCTCTCATTCAAAATGACGGAGCAATTCTTAAATCCTCCTATGCATTTGAGTGCACAGGTCTCTCGAGCGCTAGATCATGGCGATGCTGTTCATTACAGCAACTTGCAGAATACTGCTGATTCATATATGTGTTATTTAATGGTGTCTTTTCATCTTACCTATGGCCTGTTTTGTATAGTGCTAATGGATATTTATTAGTGCTGAATTTCATTGTACATTTTCCAACTTATCTATTTATTTTATTGAGGTATAACACATCAGCCGTATAAAGAATGCAACATATCTGATTTCTCTCAGCCACACCTTGCAGAAAATTGAAAATCTGATAACTATTTAAACAGGACCTTGATCCCAACTATTAATACTTCTGTATAGATCCTTAACTAGTATAATTTATGCGTAATAGTAATGAAAGCTGTGATTATATCTGTTGTCCCATCTCTTTGGGGTGGTTGCCATTCAGTATTTAAGGCTCAGGATCCTATGGATACCTGAATACACATAGGCTTCATACATTTTCCTAGCATTTTTCCCACTTGATTACAGGGTCCACCTGTTTTGCACAATATTTGGTCACGTAGTAAAGCTATTGCTGCACGATGAGCCAAGGGGCTTGTTTTTCAGCCAGCTTATTGTGGAGTGTGACACTGAGTATGCCTGAGGGGAAGTGAGCGGACCAAGGTCACACAGCTGGCTAACATATCTAAGGGACCTAGAATCCGAGTCTTCCCGCTGCTGCTCCAGCAGCTTAACCACTAGACCACACTGGCCCTCATATCATATAGATGCATATGCAATCTACTCTTCAGAAATGGACACTAAAAATCACTGGACCTCTGATGGTCTTAAAAGGTATGCAGATGGTCTGTGTGAAGTACAAGAAAAAAAACATTTTTAGATGGCCTAAATTTTTGCACCCATTTACAACTTGTAAAATTTAGCAACTGTGCAAGATTTCAGTTTTTTTTTTAATTGGGTTTTTAAAAAGTAACTTAATTTGGGGGTTCAGCAGACTCCATTGGGGGGGTCAGGTATGCCATGGCACTCAGTTAATGCCAACCTGTAATTTATGTAATGGTGTACAAAACCTTTTAACGATATAGTTGTCCATGTAAAGACACTATTTCAGAAACATTAATATGGATAGTATATAGGGTTCTTTTTTATGTATTGGTTTCAGTGTCAAGTGGTATCACATATATTAGCTGACAAAACAACAATACATCAACATACAGATTGTCCTTGGCACTACCACAGATTGCAAGACACATCTTGTGAAATCTTCACCACTGTCCTGTGATCTCTTGATGAGTGACTTTCAAGCAATAGTTACAAAATACTGTCAAATAAATATTTTAAATAATTTAAATGAGTAAGCAAACATAATTTGGACATTCTATTTACAAATCCTATCAGAGCTGCTAACTAATGTTGAAAGGGGGAAAAAGAGAGAAATATTATAATAAGTAATTCATTATGATTGTTGATCAACACAGAAGAGAAACAGTAGCAAAGCTTCTGTACCTAGCACAATGTTGTCTACATTCCCCTTTCTTTCTGGGTATTGATCAAGAATTACATACAATATTCTCTGATGCTATTGGTGTTTTAACTAAGAGAAGTGTGACATTTCCTAAGGTATATGAGATACTCCTAGGAAATACCAGAACTTTAGGTTAAATTGAGAAAAAAGTAGAATAAAGCAATGGCAAACCACTTCTGGACTGCTTGCAAGAAAACTACATGGTCATGTCCACAGAGTCACCAGGAGTCAAAGTGAAGTCGAGGAAGTCTTTACCTTTTATAATACAAGCA